AAGACATCAGTGGGTTCCTGCTGCCTTTGACAGCTTGGCTGCATATTGATTGGGGCTCAGAACTTGAAAGCCTCTCCTCTGGGTGGGGATTTCAGGCTCATCATTAGAAGAGGAATGAGGGAGATTTGAGGGTGACACCATCAAGGACCAGAGAAGGGCACCGCATTGAATATCTCTGTAGAACAAGTGCGGGCTGTTTTGCCTCCTAAACATGCACAATGTCAGATTCTGCCAGAGGATTTCAAAGTGGCTGAAGTCATTCAGCGTTCACAGAATTGGATTTTGGCAATCAGGTTTCTCTTTTTCTACTGCCTTCCCTCAACGACTTGGGTGGCCTCCGAACAGTATTGTTCCATATCACCCCACTCTCTGGGCGGTGAGAGTTTCCAGTGGTTCCAAGTGTATACTCAGGACTTGGTTTCCTTGGAAGGAAGGTCAGCAGAGACTGTAGTGTCTTTAGGACATATGCTATGATTTTACACATTTATACAACCTGAGCATAAGGTAGAGGGGCTCACAGCACCAATGTCCCTCACAGGTCTTGCTTTTCCATTAGTCACAGCTTTGAATCCAGCACAGAGCAATCATATCTCCATATTTCCAGCCTGTTTACAGCTCAGCTAACAAACACACAGGGACACGGGTGGCGCTGTGGGTTAAACCACAGAGCCTAGGACTTGCTGATCAGAAGGTCGGTAGTTCAAATCCCCGTGACGGGGTGAGCTCCTGTTGCTCGGTCCCAGCTTCTGCCAACCTAGCAGTTTGAAAGCACGTCAAAGTGCAAGTAGATAAATAGGTACCCCTTCGGCGGGAAGATAAACGGCGTTTCCGTGAGCTGCTCTGGTTCACCAGAAGCGGCTTAGTCATGCTGGCCACATGACCCGGAAGGTGTATGTCGGCTCCCTCAGCCAATAAAGCGAGATGAGCGCTGCAACCCCAGAGTCGGCCACAACTGGACCTAATGGTCAGGGGTCCCTTTCCCTTTACCTTTAACAAACAAACAAACACACACACACACACACACACACTCGCTGGCTTTGTTCTCCTATCTAGCAGTTAGAGCAACTTCTTTGGTTATGCTAATTGAGGGTCTTAACTGGTCAGCTAAATCCATTGAGTAGACAAAGGGACTGGTCTGACAAGCTTGCTCTCGTACCTTCTACCCCTAAAGATACAGGACCCCAGGAACTGGAAGGGGCTCAGAGCATCATTTGGACTGAACCCTACAACATTGTAAATACAAATGTCACATGGGTTAGCTCCATTTTTGTAAAGTAGCAGGAGCCCAAGAGAGGATGCGGTTGTAGTGGCCACACTCGCTCCAGGAACTCTGAGTGCATGAAAGAAGGAGAAAAACATACACAAGAGCTACTATATTATGCAATCAGAACTAATAAACTTGAAAGGAGAGAGGAGTCTACCCTGAGGTGATTCAGTCTCTGCCCTTCTCAACAGTTGCAGGAGAAGCCAGTGTTTTTAATTGGCTCCCATGCGATCATTTTTCATAGGAACATTGATACCTGCCTTACAGTGAGTCAGACCATTTCAGTCTTGCCTACATGGGCTGGCAGGAGTTCTCCGGGGTTTCAGACAGGGATCTCTCCCATCCTTACCTGGAGATCTCAAATATTCTACCTGGGACCTTCTGCATGCAAGACAGATGATCTAGCCTTTCCCATCCATCCTTTCAGTGGACAATCACTTTGTTACTCTAGAACTCTATGTGGTGAGCATAACAACTCATGGTTTTGCTAGGCCTGGGGCCACATTTCCATGCAAAAACTGAAGGAGGAATATTACTTTGTGGTGACTTTTCTGCCACCCCAGGTAGCGTCTTTATTTCCTTGTGATGATATTTCTGGCCCCTTCCATTCCTTTCAGAAGGTTAGAATTAAGATCTCTTCACCACCTCAAATTGCATTAAGCTCTGGCACTAATTAAAAAATGGCATTTTGGAGTTCGCTTGGCTTTCATCACACTGATGAGAGATTTTAATTGCATTTATACACATCAAATAGATGGAGGGATATAAACAGGTTTTTCCAGGGCTTTGAGCTAGCAGGGAGGCTGGAATGAGGTGCATTTGATATCAAAAACACCTCCGCTTAATAAAAGGCAAAGTCTTCGATAAGAAGATGGTGAGGGAAGAGCAGCAGGGAGGAGAGGCCTCTCCAACTCCAGCTTCAACCAGAAAAGTGCTCAAGCTTTTATCTCACAACGCTGAGGAATTACAGACAAATTACAATATTTTTAAAAATAAAATTCTCTTCTCCTTGCCTGAACACTAAGGGCTGATCCACACACGCATGTATGCCACTAGCTAATCCCTGGATGACTTGCAGCTGAACACAGAATCATAAAATAATCTATTCCAATTCCCCGCAATGCAAGAATCACAGCTAAAGAATCCCTAACAGATGGCCCTCCAAACTCTCCTTAAAAACCTCTGACGAAGGAGAGTCCACCACCTTTCAATGTAGTCCATTTTGCTGTTGGTCAGCTCTTACAATCAGAAAGTTTTTCAAAATGCTGAGGTGGAATCTCCCTTCTTGTCATTTGAATCCATTGGTTTGGGTCCCACCATCTGGAGCAGCAAAAAACAGGAGACCTGTTTATCCAGCATTCCCTCTGAATTGCTTGCATGAAGCTTATGTGGCGGTTCAACCTGTCATGGCTGGGGCTGATTGTGGCTGGCGGGCTGGAAGGCAGGGAGCCCAAGCGGTAGGTGGAGTCAGAACCAATGACAGTCAAGTTAGCAAATTCTAGTTTTGTCCCCATCTTCTTCCTTGCTTGATTCTACTAAGGTAACTGTGAGGTAGACGAGGAGGAAACTGACAGGTGGGGCTGCCCCCTGGACTGCCTCTAAACCAGAAGGCAGGCACATAAGGGCTGGCTGAGACTTGACAGAGGTTGGTTGGGCAGTGCCCCATTTGCCTTAATGGACAAGCCATCATTGGGTTTAGACTATGCCTCGTATTTATTGAGTATTCATTCTGATTTGCTTAAGGAGTGATTATATGACAATGAGCATTCACCCTGATTTGCTTCCAGGGTATTTAAACATCTTCCCACTAGTCCTTCATTTTCATACTTTTCAATGCATTTCCCTGTTAATTTCCAAACCCCAAAAAGGATCTGTGTAGAGCGACAGAGAGCTTTCATCCATTTCATTTGCAGAAATCTAAAGCTGTAGCATGCCATTACCTCCCTCCTGCAAAATACTGATAGTCTACAGGCCCCTCAATCAATCTGAATCCTCGTTGCATATTCTGTCATGGAAAGTGGCAAGATAGGCTGACAAGTTTATTGACCCTGAATTTGGATCTGATATGCAGGCATTTGATTTATTCTGTCTTGAAGAATCTCAGCTGGACATTAATGCTGCTCATCGGCAAGGTTTCAAAATGCTGGCTTTCCCAGATTTTCAAGAAGGTTAATTGGGTTATGGGAGTGGAGCCTTGGAAGTTCCCATTTCAAGAGACACACAAGAATCATAGAAGGGACCACGAGGGTCATCTAGTCCAACCCCCTGGAATTCAGGCCCATCGTGTAGGCTGGAATCCATAACCCTGAGTTTAAGAGTCTCATGCTCTACTGACGGAGCAACCCTTCATGGTTGGATATAATAATATTAATAAATTTGTATTTATATCCCGCCCTCACCAGCCAAAGCTGGGCTCAGAGCAGCTAAGAACAAGTAAAAATAGCACATAAAATCACAGAGTCACTTAATTAAAATACATTCTAAAATCAATTCAGAATCAAATTAATGGCAAGCATTGGGCTAGAGTTCTATGAGGATTACAGAAGGAGAGAGGGGGTCAGACTGTGCCTTGGCCAAAGGCCTGGTGGAACAGCTCCGTCTTGCAGCCCCTGCGGAAAGATGTCAAGTCCCGCAGGGCCTAGTCTCTTGTGACAGAGCGTTCCACCAGATTGGGGCCATGGCCGAAAAACCCCTGGCTCCGGTCGAGGCCAGCCTAACCTCCCTGTGGCCCGGGATCTCCAAGATGTATTTATTTGAAGACCGTAAGGTCCTCCGTGGGACATACCAGGAAGAGGTGGTCCTGTAGGTATGAGGGTCCTAGGCCGTAAAGGGCTTTAAAGGATTTTAAAGACTTGAAATTAATAAACAATGGGTTGTTCAAACTTGGATACTGAAACACTTCTAGAATTACCTCTGTTTTCTGTTGACAGCTATGGGATTCCTGGACTGGCCTGGCCTCAGTTGTCTACACTCCAGTGACCTCCCACTTGATTACTTTAATGTGCTTTATGTGGGGCTGCCCTTGAATACAGTCTGGAGGCTGCAGCTTGTGTAGAATGCAGCTGCTAGGTTGGCAACTGGGCAGCCCAATGGAACCATGCACTACTGGTCCTGAAGGCACTGCACTGGCTGCCAGTGATCTATCAGGCCAAATTCAAGGTGTTAGTATGCGCATATGACATCCTAAATGGATTGGGAACCAAGTACCTAAAAGAGCGCCTTCCCCAGTATCAACTATATTGAATCCTATGATTGGTAAGTGAGGCCTTGTTGGTGGTGTCACTACTGGGGGCTGCCTAGTTGGCGCTGACCCATAGTAGGGCCTTGTTAGTGGTGGCTCCCTGGTTGTGGAATGACCTCCCTGGGAGGCATTCATTAACTTTCAGGAGGAATTTGAAAACATTCCTGCTTATTAAGGCATTTGATGGCTGAAGAATATTGTTCGCGACTACCCTGAAATTACTGGATGGAAAAACTCTAAATCTAACTGCCTTTAAATCTGTTTAACTGTAATTGTTGTTAGAGTGTTTTTACTGTTTTAGGATGCTTTAAACAAATTACGTATCTTTTTGTTACCCTGGGCTTCTTCAGGAGGAAGGACAGGACATAAATTCAATTAATAATAATAATAATAATAATAATAATAATAATAATAATAATATAACAGATATGACTTGCATTAATTGCATGTTCGTTTTTTGGGAACACAAATGCGGGAGGAAAGAATTTTTGGGTGTTTCTTTTGTATAAATTCTTTTTTATTATTATTTAAAATTTAAAACAATGTTACCTCATACAGCAAACTGTGCACTTTGATATATCACAGTGTCTTAAAAAGGAAAATAATCAGATTTTTCTTTTTCTTTTAAAACGTTAAACTCAATTTTTTGTTTGTTTTTTTGGAAATTTTATTTACATCTGCCTAGAATGATCTGCAAGTAACACAGTTACTATGAAACCAAAATTATTACAAAATGTTTACAAAAAACTATATTCATAGAAATTTCTGCATGTCCACAAAGGAGTATTTCCCCTGAATGTCACAGAGACCAGTCCTGTCAGTTGTTGTTGTTGTCAAGAGGGAAGTTTGGAATAGACAGCAAAAGGGCAGTTTTGACAATGATGGTCCACAGTCCTTATTCTGGTACAGCTGCTGGCTGGGTCACCTTCCTAGAGCCAAACAGGTATTCGTGATCAAGCAATGTGAGTTTGTGTGGTTGTGAGAACGTGTGCGTGGTTGGGCTGGCACTGCAGCTCCACATCTTGGTGACAGTTCAAGATCAGAAGGTACCTCCAGAAGTCACCTAGGCTGTCCTGTTGCAGAGCCACATGGATAGAGGTGCTGGGCACACCACAACCAGGCTGAGTATCAGTCAGTATTTGCTGGCCATCAGGGGAGTGGAGAAGACATCTTTGCTGGAGCATCCAGGGCACTGCCCTGGCCAAAGGTTCAAGGGCTGCATTTTCTCCTTTGCAAGGCCTCTGGCAGAGTAGTGACAACCTTGACCATTTCCCTTCCCTGTGTTACCTCTTAGAACTTGAGCAAAAGCAAATTATATCCCCACCCCCACCCCAAATCACTCCCGACATTCTCTCCAAGTCATCATAAAATCATGGTTGGTTGGCTAGCCAAGACACTCCCGCTGTTGAGTTCAGTATCTTGTCTCTGTCAGTGGCTGGTCATCAGCAGCCAGGGCAAAAAGTGGCGAGCTGTTCCACACCAGATACAGGTGAACCTCCAATTCAGTCTGGGTAGCAGGAAAGCTCTCAATCGTTTTTATGCACACACTGAAAACATTTGCCTAAAGAGGCCTGGCGTAGAAGACAAACATATGAAAAAGAACAGGAATAAAGACTTACAGCAACATTAAAAGCGCACAGCCCTCCCCACTGTTTTACATGAAATTCAGAGACTGGCTTTAGTAGGTTTTGGACAAATTCACCTGCGATGACAAACTGATGTTGCAAAGAATTCCGAGATAGCTGAATGGTTGCTGATCTAATCTGCTGAAATAAATTGATGATTTATTCAACTGGAGATGAATAAACAAAAACAGCAGCAACTTCAAGTGCCACTATGAATTTAAAAAGTTTTGAAGCCTGTCTGAGCTAATGGATTTGAGAATGATTGAACTCTTTTGTCTTCTTGGCAAAATGGCCTCCTACTTCCCAGTAGGGATGGAACAGTGACCCCAGCCTCCTTTTCCTAGGTGGCAGGGAGGAGTTGTGTGAAATTGATTAGAGGTCACTGGCAGATGTTTCAGTGGGTTACAGTGGCCTTGTTTGCACAACACAGTAAGCCAAACGAATGTGCACAAATCTTGGCTATGGCTTGTAGTTAGTGCGGAGAGAGCTGGGTTCAGAAAACAGGCAAAGCCAAACTTTGGCTTTGCTTAGTGGGTTGTGGAAATCCAAAAAGACCCAGCTCCTCTCTGGGAGCCCACCCCAGTAAGCCATATTTTGGGCGGATACCCTTAAGAACATAAGAGCTTTCTGGATCAGGCCAAATGGCCCATCTGGTCCAGCATCCTGTTCTCTCAGTGGCTGACCAGATGCCTGTGGAAAACCAGCAAGCAGGAATCAAGCACAAGAGCACCCTCCCCTCCTGCTGTTTCCAGCAACTAGTATTGAGAAGCAACCCTACCTCCAATTGTGGAAGCAGAGAACAGCTATCACGGCTAGTAGCAACTGCTAGCCCTCTCCTTCCAGCTAAACTCGCCTCTCATTAACTAGTGTGAGGGCTTTCCTTGAATGCTTTGTGCTAATTGTTTCGACAAATTTTGCTTAAAAGGTCAATTTCTGTCCTATTTGGTGGGGCAGCTCAATGGCAGAAAGTAGCAGGTTGGGCAACAAGGGTAACAAATGGGGGGAATGGGGGGGGTAGAGAAAAACCTTTGCTTGTGGTCAGAGCCCAGAACTACTGGAGGAAAGCAAGGGGGCCACTGGGCGGGAGGCAAAGGAGCTCCAGTGATGGGTGTGAATGGCCAAGCCCAAGACTCTGGCCTCCTATGCCAGGGACACCCATTGTTTTTGTCAGTGAGATGCCTCTTGCCTCTATGTTTTGGTGCTCTTCTCCCTACTGGGTTTCCTACACCTGTGAAGTCAGGCAGCTCTGAATGGCTTTGGAGCTGTGCCAGGATCTGTATCACTTTGAGGACCCCTTGGCCAGCAGAACTTCTCCCTTCTCTCCTTTGGAAAGTCTCAGCTGTTTTTGAAGGCGGCAGGAACTCTGGTCCAACCTGCCATGGGTCTTTAAGAAATTGCACTTTGCATGAACTTGGCTTTATATGAATGCTAGCAGAAAGAGGCAAGACTTCATGAAAGGAGGGTTAGAAGGTGGACTAGGGAATCCGCTCCCATCTTATCAACCGTTACCAGGATTCAGAATCACCCAATTAGACCAGGGTCTGATTCTGAGTCTCTCTCTGGCCTAGAACTGGTAGCAACAGTGTTGTGGGATGCCTTTCCTGCTGCGATATGAGAGGCCTTCCACCACCACTGGCATTCTGCCAGCTCTGGAAAACACGGCCGTCTAGGCCAGCATTCTCCTGAACTTGCACTTCTTGATCCAACTGTTTAATTGTTCTGCTTTTCTATTGGCTTGTTTTAGTATATGGGAGTTCTAAATGTTTTGATGAAATTCTTTTATTGTGCATTTCAATTATGTATGGGTTTTATAATTGATTTTATGCTTGTAAGCCACTTAGAAGCCATTGTGGTATGCAAGCAATATATAAACTGATCAATGAATGATAATAACTTTCCCCAGCTGTGGACTGAGATGAATTAGACTTGGCAGGTAATTGACTACTGAAATTTTGAAATTAGGAGACTGTTTGGAAACTTGTCTTGCAAATGTGCCTTAAGTCAAGTCAAAACAAACCATTGCATCAGTCTTAAAGCTGACTGGATGTGGAAAGAGGCAGCTTTGCATGCAGTTGCACAACCTGTCAGTCTCCTGCTAGGTTTTCAGGGAAAGGACAGTCAGTATTTGGCAATACCACAGAGTCCCATTCACTGTGTTCTTTTGAATGGCAGGCAAAGGGCAGTCTTTGGTCATTTGGAGAGAGAGAAAAATCTGTCTGGAAGGAAAAAGACAATTCATGGTACCCAGGGGAGAAGCTCTTCTGCCTGAAGAACACTTTAATGACTTCTAATGGTAGTGATTTGTGCAATGAGCCTATGCACACAAAATTGGGAATAAGCCCCATTGAATGCAGTGGGACTTATTTTAGAGTAATGCACCCAGAAATGTACAGACTTCAACTCACCCAGAATCCAGATTGACCACCAACAAAATGCCTAGAGTGTTGCCAAATCTTTCCCAACCCCAATTAAATGCTGAATTATAATCCACTTTTCTCATGCCCCTCTTCTATCAGTGAAGTCATCATGGCCATCATTACCCATTTGCGGATTATATTAGCCTTCCTGAGGGCAACCTCTTTCACCCCAAGGATGGTGGCTTTGCTTGGTCTCACATTACTGACTTGGAGCAGACAGCACCAAAGTGTTGCAGGAGCCACTGTCTGAAGGATACAATTCCTTCTCCTCCTCCAAATGCCAGGAATCCACACCTCCAAGTAGAGGCAATGCTTGATTGTGTCACTGTGGACATACCATCTCTCCCCTTAACGGTTCCTGTCAGACAAATGGAAATCCAATCTCCCTCCCCTCCCCCTGAATAAAAGAGGCTTCCCTGCTGTCTCTTCTCCCCAGGTAGGAGCCCACAACACACCCATGCAAGACAGCTGTGCTGGTGGCCCACTGGGGGCTTCCTGGTGCACAAGAGTCCAGCACAGTGCTGAGGCCACCATTGGGTTCCTTCAAGGGGAAGGCTTGTGACTTTGACCAGGAGTCTCCTCCCCTGCTCTCCACCCCACAACTCTCTCCCACACTGTCTCTGGCACATGCTGCGCAAGCCAATCCAGATTCCACCCCCCACCCCCAATGTGGTTGCTTTGTTTATTGCCATACTGAAATGGAAGCGTCAGATTCGCAGGCTTTGCGGCGGCTCTCCTCTGCCCCAGATCAGTCCATGCCCTGGCTTTATTTATGTCTTCCATCCATTTGCTATGTAAACATGAAGACTCCTCCTGGGTGTGTCTTGGGGAAGGGCAGGGCTTGGGTGCCGAGGAGTCCACGGTGCTGCTTAAACCTTGATCTGGAAAAATAATAATAACCAAACAACGACCCCCAACTGAAGGCGTCGCGATCCATGCTTCGGGTTCTTGTATCCAAGTTGGATGATGGCTGAAGTTACATTGAAGGCCTTGTTCTCAAAAACTGGGGGTTTGTTCTCCCTCCTTTTCTCTGCTTTTGCAGTCCTGGTGCGCCTTTCTCCCCACACATCTCCAGCAAGCCCCTCCCTGGTGTTTGACCCTCCACACCCCATCACGGGAACACGGGGGTCAGTCCCGTGTTGCAGGCCATGTTGTCCTTGCCTGGAAGCCGCCTGTCATTGAACGTGTGCATGTTGATGACGGCGTCTGTCTTCACCATGACGGGGGGCTGGGGCTTGTGTTTCACCCGGCGGTGGCAGGTGAGAGAGAGCCTGATCTCGTCGGCCATGGCGCTGCAGAAGGAACGCTGGAAGAAAGGAGGAGGCACAGGAAGGAGGCGTGCATTAGACTTGGGGTGAAATAACCTTGAGGCAGAAATCAGCACATGACTTGGGAATGTCGCAAGCACAATGAGCCTGCAGTGGCTCTTGCTTGCTGAAATGGGAAGCATGCAGGAAACAGACTTGTCAAGGACCAGGGGACCATTACAGGCCGGTGTGCTGTGTGTGCATATGAGCATGCTGCCTGCGGCAGAATTGGAGCCAAGAGGACAAGTTTCTAGATCTCATGGTTGTTGTACTGTTACTGGTGCATTCTCATGAGGAAAGGATTTATAAAACACTTTTGTATGTTCATTGTTGGCAGCTCTGGGGGCGAAGTCAAACTGCTGCATTAGCAACACTGAAGGTTATTTTATTCATTCATTTATTTATTTAGACTAGAGTATTATTCTCAGTATTAAGGTATTATTATTACTAAAGTCCCAGGGCGGGTTGCTGTGTTAAAACACAATACAAAAACAAATTAGAGCTATAAAAATAAGGGGGGGGTTTCCTGAAAATATGCACCTCAAGTGTCAAAAGCCAGAGTAAGGACATATGTCTTCAACGTTCTCTGGAAGCTATTCAATGTGTATGTGCCAAATACTACCTCTGTGGGGAGGGAGCTTCACAGCTTAAGGGCCACCACATATTGTTTTTTATATTGTGTTTTAATGCTGTAATCTAACATAGAACATTATTGCGAAGGGCAGGTAAAAATTATTAAAACATAATAATTGTGACAATAATTAATAATAATAATACAACCCCATTTCAAACATCACACTGAATGTGTAAAAGCACATTCCCGAAAAGGGGAGGGGCTGCTTTTGGACAGAAAGTTCCTTTAAGGAGCTCATAAGGGTTCAGGTATATCCCTTCCTTGTTCAGATTGTGGGTTTTTTATGGGGGTCAGATTGGTGGTCCCTGTGTGGTCCTGCCACAGCCCATACCTGCTCCCGTTCTGCCGTTTTGCGCAGCTTGTAGATGAACTCCAGGGTGGCCACGAAGACAGAGAGGACCAAGCCAGCCGCCAGGACAATGAAGAGCCCCCCGATGTTCTGGATCCCGAGGGCACTGGCTTCTTTGTTCTCCTCCTCAGGGCAGCCATTGCTTCTCCACCACTTGTCCTTCAAGGCATGCAGCTTGGCCTCTTCCTGGAGCTGGAGGATCGCAATGGTGATCTTGTCCCTGTAGGGTGAACCTGAAAGTAGGAGGCACAGAGAAGGTGGACATGCCATTATATGCAAAGCAAAGAAAGCCAAAGTCTCTGCACCTCAACAAGCTGGATCCCTCTCCTGCAACCCAACCTGGAAACACTGCAGGAGCCAGTGAGCCCCCAACCCAGCATTTGGAACAGCTACTACGAACATGCCCTTCGCAAACCCAGTTCTTGCATTCCCCTGGCCAGGCACTGCTTTTCCTCACCCATAGGAGTGCCGATCCCATAGCCCTTGGAGTCTATAAGACCCCCAATCTGAGTCAGGTTGCAGTTTCTTTGGGTGATGTACTCAATGGTGGTGGATTCCATCAGCAAGGCATAGTCGGAGGTGAGGGCACGCTGGATCCCTTCTTCGTTGTTCTTAACGAGAGCTGAGGGCTTGCTGCTCATGAAGGCCCACATCTTTTCAAAAGTGGAGATCCTGGATTTCTAAAATGGCAGACCCATGGAAAACAGAAAACAATGTATTTAATAATGGCAGGAAGCCCAAGGCTGCAAAAAAGCATCTCTGCCACATAGACACTCTTCCCCTCTCTGTCCAACCTGAAAGCATCACAGCGCTTCCTCCTTCCACTGATCTGTCAAAGGTGTTTCATGTCCCAGGAGTTGCTTATGGAATAAGGCATGCCAACCCTGGAACTCAATTTCAGCACTGCAAGAAAGCAGCTGGTCTGCAAAATGCTGGTGATGGACTATGGTTGCATAGGAAAGGCTTACTCAACTGTACTTTGCAGTTGCCCAGATTGTCTGTCTGTCTGTCTGCCTGTCTGTCTCTCAATCTCAATCTCACTCACAATCATTCTGGGAGCAACCAACTGTTCTCCTATTGCTTCTCATGATGGATGGTGTCTCAATTCTGGTTTCTAAGTTGCTTGATAGTACTTTGTGTCAGTACACAGAACAGCCTTTGCCAACCTGACAGCCTGGCTATACAAAGGAGCTAAAGGACTGATGAGAGTTGTAGTCCAAAATATCTAGAGAACTGGCTTGTTTTGTGTATAGGATGTACACGCATTCTTGGCTCATCTTTTTTCTGAATGTAACACCCCTTGATTACCAGTGGAAAGGGAACAAATGGATGATATTCTTCTCCCTCCCTCTTGATGCTGGAATTCTGGGTCGCCCAATGCAGTTGTTGGGCACAAGATTCAGGCATGGGCATAGCCAAGATTTTTGTTAGAGGGGGAGACTTTTGATAAGGGAGGGGGACAGAACCTCAGTTAGTTAAGTATTTTTATTGATTTGGGGGGCAGTTGCCCTCCTGCCCCACCCCATAGGTTTGGGACAGGCCAAAGGAGGTATAGAATGAATGAATGAGTATAATTCATTGCCCAAGCTGCAATGATAGCCACTGCTTTCAGTGGCTTAAAAATAAATAAATGAATACATGGAGAGGTATGAGTCTATCAACATCTGTTACCTAACCAGAACTTTCAGATACGAGAACAGTGTGCCTACGAATATCAGAAATGGGGGACAAACAGGCAGCTGACATCACCTCCATGTTGGGAGGCCTGAGCTAGAAGCAGAATGAAGGACTTTGTTGCCTTCCGGCAGGGAGTATTCTTTTGTTCCTCTAAAACATGGGTTGTTAACCTGGTCCCTACCACCCACTAGTGGGTGTTTCAGGATTCTAGGTGGGCGGTAGGGGGCTCTACGGCACAAGCTGAATCCTCCTTCCATTGAGCACTGGTGGGCGGTAAGGAAATTTTACCATCAAGAAAGATGCATTAGTGGGCGGTAGGTATAAAAAGGTTGACTACCCCTGCTCTAAAACAATCTAAGTTACAATTGGGTAGTCCCTACTCAAATGTTACTTAGTCTTTCCTACGCCGGAAAGCTATTGTGAAGTTAAATTAGGGAAGAGCTGCAAAGTATTTCACACACTGAAGATAACTACAGAAATACATTCTCAGCTGGCAGCAGCCAAGTTGGCAGGATGGGGGGGAGGGGCAGCAGTGCTGTTATTGACTTTCACCTAAATCATGCAATGAAGACGATATGGCTCAGAAGTGCTTCAGGGTATGATATACTACTTCTTATTACCATCAAGTTCTCTCAACCCAGTTGTGGGAGTTTTCCGCCTTGGAGGAGGGAGGCCTGCCTCACATCACTGAAGCCATTCGGTGAGCTACGGGGCCCCTCCTGTAGGAGCCATTATCTTGTCTTTAAATGCACTCTGGACTGTTTGTTGTTATTGCTTTTGTATGGGAGGGAGGTGCAGCTCATTTCATTTGCTGTTTTAAAAGTGAGAGTCATAAACGGTAGCTAAGGAGTCATATACCAACCATTAGGCGAAGAAGATTTGAATTCCAGCACTTTCCACAATAGATTACACACGGAACAGAACAGAATCCGGCCACTTTGGGGCATAACCCTGAACCATAACACATTTATCTCTTTATTTCACTTCCCATATATCCCACCTTTTCCTCCACGGAGCTCAAGGTGGCTTACAGAGTTGTTCCCCACATTAATTAATCCCCACAACAACCCTGTGAGGTAGGTTGGGATGAGAGGCAGTGGCTGAACTCAAGGTCACCCAATGAGCTTCATGGCCAAGTGAGGATTTGAACCCTGGTCTCCCAGGTCCTAGTCCAACACCCAAACCACTACACCACACTAGCTCCCCACCACACATGCTTTTTATAAGGAGGGGCCACCCACTTTGAATCTAGCACGACTACCTGTTCCCCTGACCCAGTGCAATAGCCAGATGTCCACTAAAGATCTCTTTTGGGTGGATCCCTCAAATGGCTTTGGGGAATTACATTTTCTGCCTGCTCCATAGTGTTCTGGCATTGGGGTTTAGAAGGCTTTTCTGCATATTGTACAACGGGACACAAAATGTGCCATTGGGAACAAAGGTCCTTGCACCAGTGGGAGTGTCACTGATTTGGGATTTGCAATGATGCAGGGGCCATTGAACTGTCCTGTATAGTAAATAAGAACTATTGACTCCTACAGAGAAACTGCCCCTGTCACAGGGTGTAAGCAAATCGGTGGTGGGGAGAGCACATTCATGTTCATTCGGCCTTTTTCTCTTTTAGTGTGGGGTGCCTGGTAGGGAATTTGTGCCATTGAAAATCTGCTTTTAAAAAACCTTGAGAGTGTCATGTTTATTGATTTGATTTATTGGTGACTTTGTATATTTGGTCACACCTGGAAGGTCATGAGGGCAGATACTGTAAGGAGGTCAGGTGGGCTGCCCTGTGTCCAGTTCTGTGGGAGTTATGAGGCTTGCAGGAAAACCAGGCCATGGCCAGCCAGAAAACTTAACCAAGCAGAGGGCCTTCTGGACCTTGGACAGGTCCGCTCCACTTTACCATGGGGAGGAGTTGCTGTGGACCACGTGGCCACACACTCTCCTCAGGGGGTGAGGGGCAAAGTCCCGTGTTGCCTCGAGGGATCCCGGCCACCTCAGCGACCGGCCAGCCAATCCGATGGCTGGAGGGGGCGTGGCTGGGACCATTTAAGTGGAGGGGTGAGCCGGAGGGCTTCCTCTTGGCTCGCTTCCTCAATCTCCCACCCTCCCTCCCTATTTTTTGCAGGTTTTCTTCATTGGCCTTTCTATGGACCTTGGTTGGTCACCGTTGAGGGGCCTGGTAGGAATTTTTCCACTTGGCAAATTGGCACAGGCCATTTGGTTTTCACCTACCTCGTAGCAATCGTCACAACTTTGTTAGGTTTGCGGTTAGGCATTGTTTGACCTTATGAGGGGGGAGGAGAGCTGTGGCCACCACCTGCCCCTCCAAGCTTAAGGGTATTCCGTTAAAGGAATCCAGGGGTGTGGATCTTGTCCAAAGCCCGGAGCGGGGCTAGGGCCATGACATGACCCCGACGGGAACACCAGGGGGAGCTTGAGTTGGTATGCATCGATGGGGCTCCCCCTTCTGGTGGTTTACACTTACCGAACTCCCTGCACAACAGGCAGGAGTCAGATATAGACGGGTCCATTCAATGCCTAAGCCAATACCGCTCACATTCTGTAATCAATAAAGTTGTGGCCAAAATTTGCCCAATAGCATTAACCTAATATTTGTGTCCTTGTGTGTGTTATTCTTCAACAAGGGGGTGGTTTCGGGGTCTCGACACACAACTACCTGAGAGCTTGTCCCTGCAGAGAGCTACAGCCAGGCTCATGAGAGGCCTAGCCACTTCCGGATTCTGAGCCATAATAATATTAAAAGGAAACACATGAAAACAAAATATGGTACCAAAAAGAATGAGACATAATTGGACTGAAAAACAAACAAACTTTCGAATTCCGGGTTGGCGCGATCGGGAAATGGCGGATTCCCTCCGAGCTGCGGAGGGAATCGGCTCAACTGAGGACAGGTCTTGCCGCGCCGGCGACGCGCGGACCCTTAGAAACCGCAGGCGCTGAAACCTGCGGACGGGAAGACTCGGTGGGCGCCTTAAGCGCCCCCGACCCACGAAGAGCCTTTTTAAAGGCTGCGGAGAGGGTACAGAGGGTGGCGTGGTGCTGAGAGTCGATCGCTACCTCGGTTGAGCGGAGCCGCGAGCCATGACTGGAGAGCGCTGACTTCCTTCCTTGAAATTTGGACTGAAAAAGAATAACCCGTGAGTAGAATGGAATTGGGTTTTAAGAAACTTTTCCTGTGAATTCGAGACGACCGGGGTGTGTGCTAAAAGGAAGTCCGCACCCCCCTTACTTACAGACAATTCTAAGCAAGGAACGGAGAACTAAGGTGGAGAGGTTATTTTGTCTAATATAAAAGAAACTAACTTCCTCGATTTGTCAAAAGAAGTGTTGTACTGGAGAGTGAGAGTGGAACTTTGGAAATTTTTGATGAAATCCCCCCCCCCCCGGACCAGGGGGAGTCCCGCGTTTGAGCCTGTTGAAGAGGAATAAGGAGTTTGACAGCTGTTAAAAGAGCTGTCAAAGGGACAGTTTCAGTTAAAAGTTTGTTAACTAATATCTCTCTGGACCAAAAGTGCTATAAATTGAAACAAAGTTGTTGGAAATTTGAAAGAAAGAAACAAAAAAGATTTGGACTGCTGGAAAAAGTCTACAAAATAACTAGAATCCCTCTAGGGGGATTCCTAAGGTATTACAATGGCTGCAGATGGAAATTTACAGGCACAGATAGACAGGATGTTTTTTCTCGTGGGAATATTGCAAGAGCAGAGCTTGACCATGAATAAACAACTAATGACCTTGACCTCTGGAATAAGCAACTCTGCTGAATGCATTAAGGACTTCACAGGAAAGGAATCTGCAGCTGAAATAGAAGCGACATCTCAAGAATTGGAGGAGAAAGTACAGATGGGAAATATCAACAAAAAGCCTACAATGGTGGAGTGCAAGGAAAAAGACTCTTGGAGTACATGGATTATAAACCTGCAAAGGATGTTAAAGATGAAGGAGGGGGCCCCTAAAGTATTTGGAATACAGGAACTTAAAG